AGAATACCTTTCTCTAGCTGGAGAAACCACCCTGAAAAAGTAAAAAGGGCATAATAGGCAAACAGAAATATTCTGTCATTTGTTTAATAACTAACTAAACTGATGAGGGGCATAGACCTGCCAGGAACAGAGTCTGATCTAGTTCTGTCAAAAATATGCTGTGTGTTTCCATCACACCTATTTGCAAATAGAATGAGACTGCTGGAGGAGCAATATGTGTTCTGGCTGTAGAAACAGGGAAATACTTGTGCGAGTGAGTTCTTCCTCTGAATTTTACTGGGCTATGCAGCAGGAGTGAGGAAGACTCAGCTCAACACCAGCAAGCTATATAGTAGGCCCCTAAGTCTTAAACATGCTCTGACTGTCAAACCACTCAAAGCCTGGGCTTGATAGCTAAGACAGTGCTGCTCTCCTGCTTGGATCAGCCCATGAAGCTATTAGTCATGCCTTTTTCTCACCGTGGTCAGCTGAGGAGGGCACTGCTTGACGGGGAGGTTCACCACTGTGTGGCTGGAGATATCTGTTTAACCAAGCACACAGATTCTCTGTTTAAGAAGTGGAAGGCTGTGAGGGCTGACTCACAAGAGCTTCAAGGACATGCAGAGGGTGCAACATTTTCATAAAGGTCTGTTATGCTCAGAATTGGTCCTTAAATGTTAGTATACAATGACAAACAGTACAGACAGGATTCAGGTACTTTCTCTTGTTTTCTCCATCTATCATAGCAGCCTGCATCCTTCTCCTACAGAAAGTATCTTCACAGATTTACAATTGTCTTCGGACAACAGATGAATTGAAAGAGGAACACAGAATTGGAAAGAAATAATGAAAGGGGGATACACCAGCAGCATCAACAGTCCTGCTGGAACCCTTAGTCACATTATTAACAGGACAGACAGGTCTGTAAAAGGCCTTGCATATTTTGCTCAGCTGCATGATTTTCTGTTTTGTACATTGTGGGGGGGAGTGGATTCAGGAGTCCAGCTCTACATTAGCACCTCGTCCAGTACATGTTCCCAGGGATATGAGAGAAGCAGCCATACAACTATGTCCCTTCCATCTCCACCATTGCCAGAGCAGCTGCTTCCACTCCTGATGTGAAGGCATCTTTCCAGTGATTTCATCAGCTTTGAGTCTGGACCATGATGACAGAGGAAAGGAAATGCACAAATGTACACTGTATGTGAAAGAAGCCTTGTTAGGGGGAAATGTATTTCAGAGTCTTCTGAAGTACATCAGTACCAGGTTAATGTTATGGCTTTGAATGATGTAAAGGATGTTGCAGGAAAATAAATCCATACCTTTCAAAAAGCTTTTTATAAGACCATAAAAGAAATATCTTTCTGTCCTCCTTAAGCATCTTGCCAGGCAGAATTATGCTCTGAAAGCTGTACTGGGTTGGAAACTCAGCAAAGTCCTGTCTGAAAGCATTTAGAACAGGCTTAATAGCACCCTCTGCCCCAGCATGTGGGGACACAGCTTCTGGCTTGCATACTTGCCCTGAGAAAAATAGGCTGGCACAGCTGCCCTGAGGATGTGATCCAAGGCTGAGGGCATTATGGGTGTCTCTGTACTCACTTTAGGGAACTTAGGATTAAACCCATTTCACACTGGTGCAACTGCCCTGAGTACAGTCGATTGTCCTGCTCTCTGCTCGTGCCAGAACGGACTCATCCTTGAGGTACAGCCTAAACTACCCGACAAGATGTCTGCTGCGCTGTAGGAATGAAGTGTGCTTTCATAGAGATTCATTTCCCCTTTGTTATTAAAATTCTCTGTAAAATAAAATAGCAAATTGAATCAAATTTACTTTTATTAAGAAGGCTCTTTGCCAATAACTGTTAATTTCTCCTGCAGAGGCAGCAATGGGAATGGTGCACTGCAACACTCACACTGTAGCTAGATTAAAGAGTACTTTCCTTGTAAAACCAGTTGGATTAAATGACTGGTGAGCAAAAGGAACAACAGCTCATACAAAATATCTGTTCTCAGCATGCATTAGCTCCTGACAATACCTTATTATACTGCAGCACAACATCTCCCTGTCATAAAGTGGAACTTTCTTCACTCTTT